GTGCAGCCGCTCTGGCTGATTGAACGCACTGAGCTGCTATTACTGACTTTAGGTGCGAACCTTGCGCTGCTTCAGCTGGAGGCTTGATTTATGTATTTTTTTTTTTAAGTCTTATTTTTTTAAGGTGCTGACGAGTTTTTTCTCTAACTCGGTGAGTATTGGAGGTCTGACTTCTCAATTGCTCCTGGAAAGGCTCCTTTGGAGACCTCAGGTTCTCTATTTTAAGGGTATCACGTCGCTTAAGCAAACTTGGTTTTGTTGCCTGTTTGTTCAGTATTAAAAATGTGGTAGGGTCAGAGAGATCCCACACACACAAGCTGAGCAGAACTGTAATCATCACTTGTGACTAAGGGTCACTTGCTGTGACGAAGAGTTTCAGAATAAATTGGATATCCTCAGTAGCATGGAGAATGTGTGTTGGTGTTTTGATTTTTTTTTTTTTTTAACTGAAATTGCTAAAGTAAACATTTCCTGGTAATTGCCCTGTTGTAGTTTTATATTAAGAACAGTTGCTTAGATTCTGCCCTTTCAAAATCATTGGCATCAACAGTAGGCTTGTTGTGTGCTCCAAGAAATTAAAGCTTTTGCAGTCCTTGCTGTCCTTTTAACTAATACTGTTCATTTACACAACCTTATTTTTATCTCGCTGGTGTGTCGTGTCTTGAAAAAGACAAGATCTTTATTGCGTGAGCCTAGCTTCATTCCTGTTTATGCTCAGTCTTTCTGGTGTAGTGGTTCATATCAGAATCAGTACAAAACTGTGTTGTTGCTTATGCTCAGATAAACGATGACATTTAAAAACTGTTTGCAGTCTTTGTAGAAAATTGATGCCACTGAATCTTGTGGAGCATAAAATCATCTGGGACGGAGATCAATGTGCTTCTGGCACTTCTTCCAGCCTGGAGAATGTTGTGCTAGCACTGGGACCGACTTGGTCTCACTGTATCCCATGCTGGGATTGTCGTCTCCTGGGAGGAGATGGTATGAAATGCTCCTTGGGCCTCTTCCCTCTGTGGGAAGGTTACACTAGCACGTATTTTCCACATCGTTAGCCCCCTTGACCTTCTCTCTTCACCCCCCACCCCCCTTCCCGATTGTGATCTTAACTGCCTTTGTCTCTCTTGTTGGCTTAATTGCCAGGTTAGTTACTCAAAGGTCTTAATTCAAGTGAACGCAAGTGATTGCCCTTTATTCTTTATGTATATATCCTCATATGGACTTAATAATAGGATTCGAAATGTTGCATAGTAACTAATTTGGTGATACTTTGTGTACTTTCACCTCTTTCTGTGTCTTGAACTCTGATCTGTTTGATATGGTAATAATAATTCTCAGGTCAAATTAAAAAATGACTTAATTTTGTTCTTATCTGACTGGAGATTTCTGTTGGTTTTGGAGAGAACAAGTTCCATCTAAACCTCAGTACATTTAAGCAAAAGTAAAAAGGCCTAGAATACTAGTGTCTGATCTTTCCAGCTTCACTTGACTGTACACTTTGTTAAAGAATAATTTGATTGAAGATCCATTAAAGAGAAACAGATTTTTGCCATCTCATTTAGGGGTGGCTTTCTTGAAACAAGATTGATGAGGAGATAAGGTCATAAAATACAATGCCTGTTACTTAGAACTTGTCTCTGTACAGAAATATTCTGGTCTTGTGATAGCTATTTAACTACTGGTATAATCTAGCCACTTAAGCTAAACGTAAGAGAGAACCTTTTCACAAAATATGGACAAATGCATGATGTGTTTGAGATGGTTATTATTTATTTAATGTAATGCATGGTGCTGCTGACGGAGCAAACGTGGCAGGAGCTGTCTCTTTACTTTGTGTGTGTGCGTACAGTGCCCTTTATCGTGAGAACCATGGTTTTGGAGCTTCTGTTAACTAATAAGTAAGCCGTAGGCTTTATCCAAAACACAGCAAGTGATTCTTATTTCTTTTCAACTTCATAGGTACTAGAGCTGATAACGACCTTTATATAAACCAGGCCATAGTATTTATTGAAGATGCAATACAGGTAAATCTAACTTGTTTGTTAGCTATTATACTTCCCATGCTGAATATTTGTCATGCATTCTGCTAGCTTTTAAGTTTTTGTGTGTTCAGGCAACTTCCATATAACATCATCTTGATTTACAAAGCAAAACCAGAATTCCAAATCCCTGCAGTTTGCAAGTTTCGGTGAACTTCAGCTTATGAGAAACATATTTTTTCTACACAATGAAATAGATAGTGTCTTCTCTTCAAGGCTGTCAAAAGAGATGCTGATTTGTTGGTTTGTGGCGTGGTTTTGGTGGGGTTTTTTTTGTTTATGGGAGTGACTGGCCTTACTGCTAAGATAAACCGAGCAAACCCTGTAATTTGCCTCTAAATCTGACTACTTGCATAGCTTAAGTGCTGGTAGAGTTTAAGGCTAGCTTTAAGCAAGAAACTGCAACTCTTTTGCTTCAGCTGAACTTAGTGCCTTTGGAAGTTTTCACTCCTTCTTTGTCTCTCCTTTACTGGCTGGTGCAGCGGATTTCTC